CTCTGCCACTTCTGCGTTTAAAGATACATGTGTTTTCTCATCCATTAACCTTACAGCTCCACTGGATTGAAACTGAGACTCTGCTACACATAGTATCTTAGAATTGATGAGGGATTTTTTTTGTTGTACAATACTCACTTGACTCAGGGGGAACTCTGATCAGCTGCACTGAAACTGAAAACACTTCTCAAAGTTACTGAGCTCAGAGTTCAAGGTTAAATCCAGTGGTTGTCAAATCTGCTTTCTGGATTTCCCCCCCCACTTACAGTCACAACCTACATTGTGAGTTAACCGGATGTAAACATCAGTTTCTTTATCCTTGTCATTGTGGTCTTCACTGTGCGTCCCCACCCTCATTCACATGAGAAGGACAAACATTGCCCCAAGCCTTCCAGTGGTTGTTTTTGCCTGAGAAGCATCTTTATTCTCGTCACCATTTACCTTACGTGACCTTACATTTAGTATATAAATGGTCAACACAAAACCATCTGATGTCGCTGCCCCGAAATCACAGCTTCTTTTTTTATTTAATGTAAAATGGGAAACTCAAACCATTTGTCTTTGAGGCATGTTTGCTCCCACCAGAGGGCGACACTGTCTCTCCCACCACTTGTATTTCTTCATTTATCATTCAGTGAAGAACCCATCAGTTGTTGGAGTTGTTTTCATTAAGCTAGTGGATCCAGGACTTTTTTCACTTTCTTAAATGTTGTAAACAATAACTAGAATCACACATATTTAGCAAATATACTTTTTGAAGTGAATACTTGTAGTGAATTTAACTACATGTGTCCAATATTTACACCCAGAACAGTTTACAGGTTCATGGCGACATGTATTTGTGTGAATTAATTTGTACTTATAAGTTACTCACTTGTTTCCTTCTTAGGGATCCATCGGTTAAAGCAGAGTATGCCAAAGAGGAAAGCAGGTAAAATGGCCAAATCCTATGACCCAATTGCTCCAGTTGCTGAGGAGATCAGTGAGGAGGCTTGTGTTTTGTGCTTCGACGAGTTTCAGGTAATGATCTTTCAGTGTTTCAACATATCACAGTGAGTCTGGCTGCCGCCGTGCACAGCTAAAAGTGAATTTATGTCTTAAATTGTTTCAGGTCACTGATATCGCTGATGCCATGATTCTCAAGCAGCTTTTTGAGAATCTGTTTCTGAACGGAGTTGTTGTCGTGGCCACTTCTAATCGTCCTCCTGAAGGTTAGGAAGAAGCGCCCCGATGCATGATGCAAAGGACGAAACAGTTTGATCCAATACAAGTTAATTATTAATGATTTAAAATGTATCACATACACAATGATATTGGATATCAAGAGAAGAAACTCTGAAATATCTTTGATTTGTGTTCAGAGATTCAAAAATCCACTTA